AATCTGCCATACCACTGTAATATGTAACGGTCAACTTCTACAACAGTAGGATATTAAACTAATTATTAGATGGTTTATATTAAAAATAGTTGAAACCAAAAAAATACACAGGAAATCCGAATGAGAATCAATCAATAACAGCAAAGTACTTACAGTCAGAAGTTTGACTTTCTCACAAAGTCAGCACAGAAAACATTAAACTAGCGGCGTGCATGAAAACCCACGAAGTCTTGATTGTAGTTTGTGCACCACTTCTCCCTTCTACACTGTTAATCTGCTCTGCTATGTAGTTCTACACACTCATTTAATCCCCTACTCAAATACCTCTGGCTCTTTCCATTTACCATTTCTCCATAGACACACTGTTTAAAGAGTCCTGCTACAAGAAAACTTCATCAGCTGAAATGGTAAGTTATGCTTGAGTTTTGTTTGGTAATAATAATAATTCACTGTTTCTGTATTTGTGGTATGAAAGTATGAATGTGATTAACTTTATTTACCAGAAAAACTGGTTTCTAAAACAGGCCGACTGCTGCAGTTACTCAACAAGAAAGAAAATAGGAACAAACTATCAAGGTCCATTCAGCAACATAGTTTGGTGAACTAGAAAATAGCAATAAAACCAAAAGATAATTTTATTTTGTGTTTCTTTTGTGCTTGAGCAATATTGAAATTAAAATAATTTAAAAGTAATTGTATGTAAATTTGCCCCTTAAAAAAAAGCAGCTAATAATCTGTAACTGCAACAATCTGTAACATCCCTAAATTAAATCTAAACTAATACAGCTTCTTGTCGATGTAAATATAGACTTCAGATGCTGACAAACACATAAACAGCAAATCCTGAACTTGTAGCAATGCTATAATGCAGTCTAAGGGGGAGGCTGGCTTCTGACGAACACGCTGGTAGGGAGGAGAGCACACTCGACTGTAATGTGAAAGTCCATATAAGGCTGCAGGCGAGGAAATTACCAGAAAGGAACTGATGTAAGTGCAGAAACCTTGAGTCACAACATGACTTCCTTGGGAAACCGAGGCTCTGCCAAGGGGAGTCCAGCCAAGGCAGAGTTTCTCAATAATTACTGCTTTTGTGAAACATTTAATTATTTTGTATTTAACTCAAAACTCTGAATAAATAATCTATGTTTGAAAAAAACAGGAAATGAAAACAGTTAATGGAAAAAAACTATTTTATGCCCTGAACCTCCCTTTTTATTCTCTGTGACAGCTTGTTGTGGATGTATTGGGATCAAACTGGGAACCGAACTTTGAGTATTTGCTGAATCAGTATCGAGCTTCCTTCTTTCAAATGCAAGTTCAAACAAAACCACTCAGTGTTGCAAAAACACATCCACCAGGTGCAATGATCTCAGAAAGCAATAACTCTGTAACTTAATATAGTCTAATGTGCTTTTGGCTTTGCTGCATTTGCAGAAAAGTAAGAAAATATTGTTTCTCCTCAAATCGCTCTCTAGTTTATATATCAGGTTACATATTAGTAAATATAAAGCTTTCTGTCCAACATGTCCCACAATCCTTCCCTGTCGTCATTCATCTATTCTAGTTTCCCCTTTTCTTACTCTTCATTATGTGTAGGCTGAGATATCTGCAACAGAGCTGCACTGACGCTGCAATGTACCTGTGCTCATGAACTGATTGTGACTGCCAAACAGCTTCCACCGAGCTGTTACTGCAGTAGCTGCTGCACATTCAGTATTGTAGGTTGCTACCCTGGTGTTGTCGAGGCAAACAGTGTCTCAGCTGCACTCTCCAGAGATTTGGCACAAAGGCCGACACTAAGTGGAGTACTAAAAATATGTCAAGATCATTGCAGATCATTGCAACGCTTGCAGTGTAAGAAATAACAATAAAGTTCATGTGTGACAGCAATAACTCTTAAAAGTCCCTTTCATAGAAATAGGATATCAACCTACTATAATTCTGATCAATAAGGCATTGTTGTTTAAAATGTATTTTGGATGCAATCGTTTTTCTTGACTTGCAAAAACTGAAATGAAACTCAAAACATTGCCAATTTGTTGCAAATAACTACTTAATAATCTGTAGCTTTTACTACTCAGCAAATCCCTTTAAAACAAAAAGTCATGATAAAATATATTGAAATGCTGACGTGATTAGAGGAATTCCTCTGGGAAGACAAGGGCACTAAAGACTTTAAATGCCAGGATGCTATATCATATTTCTAGCTGTCAGCTCGAAAAAATGTGGAGGAAGTACAGTACTCGTAGAAACAATACTGCAGGAAGAGAACAGATACAACCCTTAGTACATGTTATTCTTTATGTGTAGGAGTTCACAAGTCCATTGTCATGATATGTAAAGTCAACAATGTATTTTTTATAGAGAGGGGTACTTAACCTAAAGCATATACCCTGAATGGAAATCAGACATGGTAAACATTGATTTGGTGAATTACTTTCTATCTGTGTAAATGGCTTTAGGTGAGGATCACATTCACACTCACTCATTCATTTCTATTTCTGTAAAATAGAAAGTTTAGAAAAGAGGAAATTACACTCAAAGTACATCATAGACTATGGAACACATGAGTGAAATCTGAGCCCTAAAATGACACAATTATGCATCCACTGTTCAAATAAATGAGACAAATATAAAAATAAATAAAACCTGAAGATAAGACACTGGGTGACAATCAGTGACCCACTAGATAAAGTACACAGCAAAAATGCATTTGCTATACTGCCCTTTATTTAAACCCTGCTGTAGAAATGAAAGTGACCACACACAGATTCAACAGCTCCTGTATTATCTTCTCAATTCAAGAAGCATGGTGCTGATTCAAAGGCCCACACAGACACAGACACACACACACTCACACACACACACACAGACACACACACACACACACACACACACACAGAGAGACACACACACACACAGACACACACCCTCAGCAGGGCCAAACAGAGGAGAGATGGGGTTGGAAACCACTTTCACTTCTTGTTTGGCCCCCATGAAGGCCTGAGCTGCAATCTGAGCCTTTCATTAAAAGGAGAGTGAATCAGTGTGTGGTGGTGGAGCCCTCTTCTCTTTGTTCAGAGCCCACCCAGCAGCACGCATCCCCCTGAGCTGCTTCTTCTTCAGGACTGACCCAGCCCTGTCCTCCTCTCTTATCACACACACCATGAGATAATGGCTCTAAAAGCGTCACCTCCCTGTGTTAAATCTGACTCCGTTAGCTCCAGACACGAGCAGCACGGAGCTCGGTCCCGTCCCGGCTGACACCTCACATCCCTGCCCGGTGAGGGGAGGCAGGCCTCGGCGGAACTAGCTCCGAGGCTACCCTAGGCCCCACAGCCTGAGCCGAGAGGATGAAGTGTGACTTCAGGGAGTCGAGCTGCGGACACGGGCTCAGTCATGATTCACAGTTTTCAGTCTGAATCAATGCTCTCATTTAAAGGCGCTAATTTTTAATGGAGCGGGCGGGAGGGCGCACGCGCACACAACTAACGGAAAGTACCCCAGCGTGAGTTTGGATTTTAAAAAAATAGCGTCAAATGAACCAAGAATCCGCTTTAATGTTCCGTGAATGTTAAGTTAATGTTGCGTATCAATGGAAACATTCAGTCCCGAAGCTGTTAGGAGATAACAGAGGCAGGGACACATTGTTTCAACGGGGATTCGTGACAATAAGGTCGTTTCATTCTTACCGTTTTCGGCATCTTTCCTTCCTTTCACGTCCGTTTCACGTTGAAAAAAATGATTCGACTTTGTTAAAAGAGACGAGGAGTCAGCGAGAGCCGCAGAAAACTTTTTCCCATCAGAACAACGGCGCCAAACAAACGTCTTCCGTCTCCAGGAAACTACCCAGCGCTACTTTTAGAGCAGGAGCAGAAGAAGAAGAAGAGGAGGAAGAAGAGGAGCTGGCTTCAACCGTACAAATGTCGTGATTTGTCCTCCTTTGTTTCGCTTTACAGTGGAATGGACCGGAGCTGGATTTCCTGCTAACGGTACCACAGACTGTAAAACCACACCCAGGCCGATGACAGGACAGCAGCAGCAGAACTCAGACACAGGCTCCACACCAGACTCCGCCTGCTGCCGTAGGCATCGTCATGGCTGCTGCTCCTCTGCTGCTCCGCTGCTCCTCTGTTGCTCTGCTCCGCTGCTCCTCCGCTGCTCCACAGATGAGAAAGTTCAGCTGCTCTGTCACTTCACGATCCCTCTGCTCAACCATGCTCTCCATAACAAGGACACTTCTAAATGCAAGGATGCATTAACGTGGACTATACCACTGGTACATAAGACATAAGAAGGGCACAATGTAGACACTGTAGTGGTAGTGATAGCTAACACAGTATATTATATTGATAAAAGTACATGGAGATATAAATCTACTGCATATTGGCTACCTCATACAGTATATTAAAAACAATATGGTACACACTTTCCCTCTGGTTATGCTTTAAACTAACAGGAAAACAAACAATACAAATATGCAATAATATGTGAAATTACTTCTATAATACATTTTAAACACAATGCCCATGATGTTGGAAGGGTTTATGCAGTCTGCTAACAGCTAGCACAAATGCTATAATATATAATACAATGATAAAAGTCTGTTTAGATGGAGATTAAAACTACATAGTGGCTACCTCATAGTTTGAATACAGTATATGACACTATCTCTCTGGTTAGTGCTGCATTACACAAACAGGACACAAAAATGAATGATGCAATAATGTGCACTAAGGCCCAAGAAGTACATTAACTTCTATTATATATTTTAACTACTGTAACAGTAGAGACTCATGATATTTGAGGGTTTGAGCAGTGTGCAGCTAACACATCTATAATAGATAATAATGATAAGGTCTATTTAGATGGTGATATAAACCTACTTCTTAGATTAAACCGTATTTAATAATATTTGATTTGTTAACATTCACTTCAGCTGAAGTACATATTCCCAATCAATATATTTCTTTTCATTTTAAATTATTGGGTCTTATATCTCAGGCTGCTGTATTTTTGCACACCTAAGACACTGTGTTTTAGACTGATTATACTTCAGTACATTGAGTTGTCATTGTGTTTACATTGTGGTAGGTTCCATTCATCTTTTCAATGAACCTCTATCTGATGGTCAGATGTGTGCACTCCGTCTGATTTGCCCACAAAGAGGGTTAATTCAGTGAGACAGTGATAATGTACGACAAGGATATCACACCTGTATCCAGATAAATATGGTTTGAATCAAATGTAAGTAATGCACTTTAATTAACCTTATAGCTTCACTTCTGTAAAGTTGGGTTAAATAAGGTTGAACATACAGTAAGTCAGCACAATTATCAGAGGTGTTTTCCTAGCTTTCACACAAGGGCGTAGGTTTGATCACAGAAGTGGGCGAATGTGGTTGTGGTTTGTCTTTCTTTTTTTTGATCTCCTAGAAAATAATGAGTTAAGTGTTCCATAACAATGTTGGTATACATGTTATTTCCTTTATAGAGACCTGATATTTTTACTTATACTATTTGTATGAAATTATTTGACAAACTCAACTCAAACTATAGTTTACAATGTCAAAATTAACTCAATAAAAAATGGTAAGATAATTTCTTGCTGATCAGTTCTTGTGTTTTTTAGGAGGATTATGAAAATCAAAGCAGCTCATTTATTTTGTTGTTTTATCAATTTTGTTCTATTACCTGGAAATGCAGAGGCGTTGAGGGGATTTTTTTTCAGCCCTCAGACTGTGGTGGATCTCACAAACATACATACGGCTCCGACAAGCTCCCCCCGCCTATATTTTGTCTGAGAGACTAAATCTGCGAAACACTTTTTACTTTTCACTCTCTACTTCTTGTAAAGCTCAAATACTGTAGAGTATTAACTGAAAGTGGCTTAGATGAGCATTTTCACAATTTCACATTCGACTCAGAGCTTTTCCCATCTGGAGTTTGATAGATGGACTGTGAGAGAACAAGGGTTAATGGTCTGTCAGTGAAAGTAAATCTAGTTGGAATTGTACCCATGCTTTCACATGTGAGCTTTCAGAGCAGAAAGAGACAAACTAACAGAGCAGCCAAATTCCAGCTGCCAGAACTGCAAAGAAAAGAGGAATGTCAAGGGTCAGAGCCTCAACAACAAATTACAACGAGTAATCTAGAATCTACCAACACGTTATGACACATATTTACACTCGGCATGTGATAACTAGTTTAGATAATAACATTTATTTTCGTGAAATCTAGCTAAATTATATTGAACTAACTAAAATACCAAACTATATTATGTATATATTATAACTATTACCGCACACATTACCAAGTTATTTGAAATATTTGTTGTGCTGGATGGGAAAAATCATTTCTGGCACTCCACCACAGAATTCCAGCTGGGCTGTTTGGTTTCCAGGGTGGCAGTGGACTATGAGCATTTTGTGACCACTCATACCCTGTGGAGCCATAAATAAACTGCCTGACTCTGGTCAGAAATTCTTCCATAAAGGGCGACCCTCCGATCACCCTGAGCAGCACTTATTAAAATTTCATTTTTCTCTGTCAGAGAAACAGCTGGCCTAAACTGCGTCACATAACACTTCCTTCACTTGTAGACTGCTTCATCGTTAGAGACAAGGCTTCAGGCCTTTTGACTTTTTTTTGGTCTGCACCAGATGGAGCATGATGAGTCATCGAACAGTCCATATTTTTCTCCCATTGCTTTAAATGACTAAAATATGTCTTCTTCATGCTGCTTTACTCATAAAATTCTTTGTTGCACGTGCAATAAATGCCTGATGCTCGGTCACGACATCTAGGCCCCTGCTGCTCTAGATGAAACTTCATGCTCGATCACACCACGATGAGAATTTGTGGTCACACGCTTTCTTTTCACAGCAGCTAAAAACCACTGCAGGTTACGGTTAAAGTGCACATTTCCCAGCACGGTGTCCCCTAGCTGATGATGTTTTATTCTCTGTTTCTTAAAGGTCCAGTGTATAAGATTTAGATGAAAGGGATCTATTGGCAGAAATTGAATATAAAATAATCCTAGTGATGTTTTCACTAGTGTCTAAATTGTATGAATTGTACTTTTCTTTGCCCTCGAATGGGTCTTTTATATTTAAATACTTTATATTTACATGGGGAGCGGGTCTTCTCTATGGAGACCACCATATTTTTTACAGTAGTCAAACTGAAAATCTTTTGAGTTTTCATGATTGAAGGCTACCACAGTTTCTCTTCATGTTTGGAAGGGGAGGGTGAAGTGAGGGTATTCAGCTGCAGCAAGCAACTTCACCACTAGATGTCAATAAATTGTACACACTGAACCTTTAAGCTCCTCTACACCTGCTGCACAGGGTCCATGTCACAGAGCTTTTTAGTTCATGCAGTTAAATTGACTCTATAACATGACTCTATCCAGCAAAGTTATTCCTGTCCGTTTTCCCCTCTTGGATTGTTTGTAAGAAGGATTACACAACCACTTGAAAGATTACTAAGAAACTTGGTGGAAGGATGTGGTATGAATCATAACATTTTTGTGGAGATCTGATCAGGGGGCAGATGTAGGAATTGTTTCGTTAACATAAGAGATAAGGCCTTTTTGAGATATAGGAATTTCCCAGGACATCCCAGGACATTTTTTTTGTCACATTTAGGGAACAGAAATATATATAGAAATATATATGTGGGAAATTTGGTCAGTTTGATTGATTTTAAGGGAATTGTTGGGCCTTAGCAGAGGCATGCTCTGCTGTGTCATTGTAGTTAAAAAAGTTACTTTTAGTTTGTGTCCAAGATGTTGCTGTATTACCAGTATATCCTTTAGGCTATTTGTATATTTAAATGTCTGATTGCACAAAAATGAGCAATCGGAAATGATGTCAACTTCTAAGTTTTAATGATTAGTAGATGATGGAGTTACTGGAGACTGACCCTGATGTGCTTTCTCTGGGAGTATTGAAGCAGCAGAGATGTCACTGCACTTTTATGATGAGTCATGTCTTCACTCACATGGCAGGATGACCTCCAGCAGTCTCAACTCACTGAATGAGCTTCTCACCAGTAAATTAACTTTGCCCAGGGTTGCATGATTTCTGTGGTGTTAAAAAAACATTTCATATTTAACATTTTTACATGTAACATTATGTGTTGCAGTACACTGATGAAGGCGTAAAGCT